GTTATATAGTATTTCATGGATTGTAAGATGTACATCTTTTTTCAGCATCGTGACATCTTTGGAATCAGGATTAGTCTTATGATCAATGGCTTATTATAGTTTAATTGACAGGTCTCTGTCTCTTTATTAGTTCATTAAATATCAGAATGTCTTGCAATCAATGGCATCTTAGGTCCTATGTTTACACGGTGCTGTAAAAAGACAGAGGCATCATGTAAAAATAAGGAAACATAAACCCACTTTTCTACGTTGTCTCAAGTGACCCAACTGGGTGGCATCAGCGCCAGGATGACAGGATGATGATGGGCAGGGCCTGAGCAGCAGCTGCTGCCTGAAATGGGGTAGGCCAGGATGAGACCTCTACCCCTCGGTGCTCCTGGACACTGTGGCCATCTCACTGCCATTTATCATCACCATTCTCTTGATTCCATATGGTAAGGATGTTTTTCTCTGAGCCCGAGTCTCCATCAGAAGCAGGACAAGGAAAAACAGACCATGATGGGCTCATGATTTCCCTTATGCTCTGCTCGCGTCCCTCATTTCACTACCTGCCAAACCCTATCTTTCCAGCAACATGAAACACCAACAGAGGCTTTGAAATGAAAATATTTATCTCAGTCTACGGCCATGCCACCCTGAACAAGCCCAATGGCTGCTCTCGGAAGCTAAGCAGGGTCGGGCCTGGTTAGTACTTGGATGGGAGACCACCTAGGAAGACCAGGTGCTGTAGGCTTAAAAAATAAGGGATTGTAAACTGACAAGATCCTTGCAATCCATGAGGTCAACCAAGGGTTGCCTCACAAACCAAAATATATATATGTATTTATTTATATAAATATAAATATATACTTATATTTATATTTATATTTATATTTATTTATCTGTCTTTTAATCGTGTTCTTAAGGTCATAACCCTTCCTGCTCAGGAAGACGAGGAGAGGACGAGAAGCCTGCATCCTGGCTCTGTCTGGAGCAGGTCCCCAGGGATCCTGCAATATTTAATGTTTACCACATGCCAGGCAATGTGTTAAATTCTTTATGTACGAGGGTCCTCATCTTACCGATGATCAAAGGATTCCTGACTTGCCCAAAGTCACACAGCCTGTGAGTTGCAGAACTGGGATATGACCCAAAGTCTTTCTCCAGCACTTGAACTTTAATCACTGTTTCTGAAAGTGTGAGCCACACATTCTTAAAACTACAGACCCCTGAGACCCACTTCAGACCTAATGATTTTAGACTTTAGGGATAGAAGAGCTGAGAATCTGTACCTTCAAGCCATTGTCTCCTTCTCCACCTCCTTCCTACCCTCTGGCCTCACTCTGCCCTGCACTGCCCTCCAAATTAGGGGATTTGGCACCTAGCCAAAGTTTTAGAGGCCCCCCCTGCACGCGGTCACCCCACTCTCACCCAAAGCTTGGGCAGTAGTTACCTACTACCTTCTCACTCTCTGCCCTGTGCCTTTAGTCTCCCTTCCCTGCCCTGTGTCCTCTGCACATTCCCCAAAAGGGTGAGGCCAGGCAGAAAAACACAGAAATGAATGGCTGGGAATTTCCAGCGTAAGGCTGAATAATAGGCCCCTGAGAGCCACAGTGTGTGTGTGTGTGTGTGCGTGTGTGTGTGTGTGTGTACCTGTATACACATGCCCTGTTGCTCCTGTGTGTACAAGAATACAGGAGAACCCATTCGCTTCTGCTCAGTCACATGTTTTCCCGAATAATGTTTCAGCTGCTAGAAATTTAAAAAACATCTAGTGCCCGGTTGGCTTTCCCAAGCTGCGGGCCCCATGCGGATGGCCTTAACCTCACTAACTTGGGGTGGGGTGGAGTGCCTCTGAACCCAGGAGAAGTCTAGAGCAGTGCATGTTTTGGAAAAGAGGCCCCTCTCTTACCTTCACGGGATCCATCGCTCCCCGAGGACAGAATAGAATCATTTGTAGCAGGCATCTTGCTTTTTAGCAATACAAGAGTGGAATATAACATGGGATCTCTGGTTGTGTGACTTTGGGCAAGTTGCTTAACCTCTCTGGACCTCAGTTTGCAGTTCTGTAGAGTGGGGACAATAACAATGCACCTCGTGGGTGAGGTGCCATGAGATAATCCTTGCTAAACACTTAGAAAAATGACATGCTCCTAGGGGGCTCTAGGTCAATAGAACCTGCGACTATGAAGTAGGTGTTTCCAGGCATTTGAAACGTCCTATTTCCATTGGTTTTTGTTATTGGATTCTCAAACAAGACTATAGAATTATAAGATCTCTATGAAAATAAAAAATAAAAACACCACGGTCTTCTTAGTTTTCAGCAAAGTAGAGTGAAGAAATGTCATGGTGTCATTATGCAGATAAGAATAGTTTTTATGTTTTTTCCCATCAGCTAAAAGATGCCATTCAAGTCAATATAACTTTTCTCCTCTAAATTGCTTTTGAATTTGGCAAGGTCAAAACTCATGAAACCCAACTAATTAAAGCCAGACTAGCAAGCTGTTTGAATCTTAGACTTGGACAGAAACGAAAGTTTCTTTGTTTTCAAGCCCTTGGAGACTGCACTAGTCAGTCTCCCCGAATATTTCCAGCTTGCTTCCCCCTAGGCACATGAGAGAGCTGCTCTTCCTATCCCCTTGGGGTTTGTGGGGGCCAAATGACCAGTCCTGGCTGGTGAGCTGGGAGTGGAGGTGACGAGTGTCACAAGATTCAAACATTGAATTGCTGGTGAGAAAACGTTTAATTCCTCTGGCCCAGCCCCTGGCCACATAACAGAAAATGATGGAATCATTATCTTGGGTCCCAGAGTGAGGATGACTCAGGGCTCTAGCCATGAAAAGAGCCCCAGCTAATCTATGCGGAAGCAATGAACCTTTGTGGTTTTAAGCCCCTGAGAGTTTGAGATTAGTTGTTATTGTAGCATAATCTTGCTTATCCTGCCTGATAGAGCAACTAAGAAGAAAAAGTACTTTGTTCTTTGGACTCAATAGAAGTGACTTGTCGGTGACCAGCACGATGCTGTTAAAAGGCTTGAAAACATTCCTTAACTGGGATAAATAAGCTTTCCATTACATAGCTTGGCCCTCTTCATTCACTCTCCTTGCAGACAGGACAAAGGTCAAACTTAGCTTGGCTAGATGTCTATGGATTTATTTTGGAATTCCCACTGGAGTTGAAAAGAAGAAAGGTTTTGTAGTTTCTCTGAAGTACATTGGCACTTGGGAGTTTTAATGGCCCGGATATGCTGCTGATCACTTTGGCAGACGAGGAACTAAATAGAAGGAAGAATATTAATTACTGAGAACTAGCTATTCACTAGACGATCGAAATCAACCAGTTTTTCATGTATCTTCTAAGCCCAGAAGCCCAGACGGGATTACCTGGGCCTGTCCTCACAGCAACTGGGCATTTTAGCATAGTTCTAGCTGCCGACAAGTGCACTTTCTGTATCTTTGTTTTCCTGGAGGATTTCAATTGGTCCGCTGGCTCCAGCCTCGTTTCTCCTGAAGCTGGTTCCCCCATTCTCGCTCCCGACCTCCAAAACAACTTTGGCTCTATATTTTCTTATATCCTCAAGTTGATCTTCTCTCTCACACCTCTGAGCCATCTTACTAGCTCTTCCCCTGCTGGAATAACTGTTCCCCTGGCCAACTCCTACTCGTCAATCGGTCTCAGCTTGGATGTCTCTTCCTCCAGGAGGTCTTCCGTGACTTCTTAGCTTAATGAAGGTTCCATGCTATGGGGACTCACCCCACCTGTGCTCATCACAACCCTCAGGCGACCTGGCTGTACCTGCTTCTTTCACTGTGCTTCTGGAAGATCTGTGAAGCAGGCATGTATATGTCTTTTCTCCTTTGTGCCCCTGTGACCACCAGAAGTCCTGGAAAGAATGAAAGAAGGGAAGGGCCAGGGCTCACAGCCGTCTGTGCCCATTGGGATAATCTGACCATGTGCCTGTCCCACACCACTATGGAAAGCCCACCGTCCATATGGGGGGCTTCCTTTCAAGGCATTTCCTGGTGGAAAATATTTAATTGCCTCCAAGGGATGCCAGAGACTGAAAGGCTCTGTAAAAATGTGTAGAACTCACTCCCGAACCCCCTCCGACCCTCTGCTGTCACATCCAGGTTGAGAAATTGCTCCCCGGGCCCAGCCAGGACCCCCAGGAAGCCCGAACTGGGTGAAGGCTCTGATTGTTCCCTAAGCCTCCCAAAATAGTGAGCAAGTGGAGGGGCAATCTAGCAGCCCTGGGACAGTGGCCCCTCTCCTCGTGAAGTTCACTGTCCCCGTCACACACTACTGTGAACCTTTGAATTAATTTTCTCATTTAATCCCAGTCCTAGCTCTAAGATAGGTCCTACTAATACGAGCCCTATTTTCCAGATGGACGTGCTGAAGCACAGAGAGATTACAGAATTTATCCAAGGTCTCATAGGTAATAAGTGACTAAGCCTGCAGATGGTCCAACTCCAGACACCTTTCTTTTTAGGGGGGGCGGTAATTGTAACATAGTTATATATACACATTATGTAATTATATTATTATAACTCTATAACAAATAGTTCTTGTATGGAATAGCTTACAACAGTGAAGAGAAA